ATGCTGAACGAGTTCGGCCCTTTTGATTTTCTGACTCTAGCTCCTCGCACATTTCATTGTAGTACTTTGCTTTGTCATTCCGAGCTACCTTTTGGAATCTTCTGTTCAGCTCTTTTTAGACAAGGATAATTGGAGCAGCCTTCATCAAATCCTTTGGTTATAAAACTCTGTTTTTCTGAAAAGAGATAACATTGCTATCAAATAAAAAGACATGTGATGGACCCGGTGGCAGGTTTTCAGTTGCTATAAAGCATATAGGAAGAGACTATCCACCTTTCTCCTGAGAAGCAGTTAGTGGATTCAAGCTACCTGCCTTTGGGTTGGCAGTGCCACTCTTCACCCACTAGGCCACCAGAGTTCTCTCTGGGGAAAGAGAGTTGCAGAATTGTATTATTTTCTTGATAAAATGATAAAGTTCTTTATGTCTAGCTCTATTGTACATAGGGTTTTCAGAGGACTGTTATATATTGAAAATGGATCCTTCTTCCTAGTTTGTCTTAATTTCGATGTTTAGGTTTAAAAAAATATCAGAAAGACAAGCATCTTACCAAAAGCAGCAGATAAAAGACACTTTCCCTTATAGGTATAACCAGTACATACAGTTCCCCCTGCAACTCCCCGCATGTGTGTCTTGTACCATGACTTTCCCTGTTATATCAGTATCCCTTACACTCCTCCCTACCTCATCCAGCACCCAGCACGTCCTTCCCCCCAGCCACCCCTAGATATGATGGCTTGGGCCACAAGTCACATTTGTGATGTCTTGTGCCTCACAATGCTGCTGATCTCTCATGCTGATTTCTATCTCTTAGGAAGATTTAAGTCCAAATCCCATGTACCAATTCAGAAAAGGATTTTGCCTGAGTTTCTCCTCCAGGACTGTCCTCTTGTGGCTTAATGTCTCTGCTCTTCCTTTTGCACCATGTGGGTGTCACAATACGCTAATTTCCAAGGTGTGGGCTATTTCTCCTTTAAATCGGCCATGCTGGTGTTGTGCATTTGGCCCTTGGGCTTGACACCAATCTAGAGCTGAATGTCCTTCCTGTCTTGCCTAGGGTGCCTGATTGTTAACAAAGCCAGTGGAATTCTGGGAAAATGAGTGTTACCTAAGGAGAGAGGGTAGAAGGTGGTCTCAGATTCCTTCTGTGTGCCAGGTGTTGGGGTTCCCAATGTGAATTAGGGGCACAAAAGGTGAAATCAGACTCCGGCTGTGTGTAGAGCTCTTGGTTTCTGATGCAGATCTGGCATTGAATCACTGGGACAATGACTAAGGATGACAGAAGAGTCAATGCCTTTGAGTTGTGGTGCTGCAGAAGAGTCTTGAACACATGATGGACCACCAAGAAAACAAATCTGTTTTGAAGCTGATGAAACCAAGTTTCTCCTTGGAAGCAAGGATTTTGAAACTGTCTCACATACTTTGGGATCGTGTCCAGGAGGAACCAATCCTTGGAGAAGGACATCGTGTTTGGAAGGGTGGAGGGACAGAGAGGAAGAACCTGGATGAGATGAACTGATGCAGTAACAAGGACAATGGGGTAGGAGTGTCAGAGTGAGTGAGTTGACTCAGGACAGGGCAGGCTTCAGAACAGTTGTATGTAATGTTGCTCTGAGTCACTGGTGACTGGACAGCACATAACAACAACAGCAACATGTCCAGCAATTGTTTAGATTTTCCTGGAATTGGCTCATCTAGATGGAGTTATGAAAATGAGATACACATAAGCAATCAATCTTTAAAGATGGATTCCAGTCAAATGGCTTCTGGACTAATGAGCATCACTTATTATGGGATAGTGCACATGAATAGTCTCTTTGTGGAAGTGCTAGTTTGGGCCTTGTCCTGGCAGGAAACTCTCTGCTGTCTTTAGAGGATGATCATATCACCATCTGAGAATGATAGTCAGCACATACTTAAGAAATCAGTTTACCAGATTCTGAAATATTCATTTCAACAGGATGTGAATATATTTTATCCGAGGAAAACAGCTATCTTGATGTTCTCTGACCTAATATACTAGATATCTGCCCTTACACTGAAATCTGGCTGTGACCATCATAAACTGCATTAAGTTTATAAAAATAGAATTTTAATTTTTAATCAGTTTCCTTATTGTTGTTAGGTGCAGTCGAGTCATAGACGACTCAAATCAGTTTCCTTAGTAATATAAAATATTTATTGTTTGTTTAAATATATGTTCAGCTGACATTTATTTAAAAGGCTAATGTTACTATACATCATTTAATTCTTTACTGAGATATTTATTTTAGAGTGATAACAAGGGGAGTACTTTCCTGGTCAAATCTTGTATATTCAAGTGTGAAGTACTTTTAAATACACCATCTTTCTATGTTGAGTTATTGATTTAGTGTCAGTGCTGGATGTTTTCCAAGTTTTCTAGTTGCTTTTTTCTTGCCTTTTTAATTTAATTGGAGTTCTTTCCATGACTGCTTATTCTTACTAAAGTTGTAATGAATTTTGTGAAATGCAGGAGTAGAAATAACCAGAAATTCTGGTTATTTTTCTTATAGAAGGCTATATTTGCCAGACTAAATAATAAACTAACTTTATGAAATAGACCAAGTTTTAATAAGATGTTATTTTCTCTTTCAGATCTGTATAAAAATGGACTCCAAAGAGCTAACTTCGTGCCATTCATTGCTGTCCTAAAGGTAAGAAAAATCACTTTCTTGTTTGTGCTTATTGGTATGAAACTGATAGGTAATTACAGAAATTTTGTGAATTTTCTTGGCTTTGCTAAAAGTAGGATCCATTTTGATATTTACCAACTAATTGTCAAATAGACTCATAGAGAAAAGAAACTTTTTGTATAGTACAGTCAAGAAATGGCAAAATATATTTAAAATTATTCTCTGAGTGGGATATTTAATACTTTGAATTTATAAATTTTAGTTTCAGGTTTGCTCATAAATTATAGTAGTATGTTTAAATTTATACATTTATTTCTGAAAAAATATTTAATGTACCCTGTTTCCTCCAGATTAATGGCCATTATTAGTATGTTTTCCCATCTATTAAAGTTGTTATTCTAAAGTAGATTATTATAAAAAATATTCTAATGTATTTAAATGTGATTGCCATCAAGTTATCATGAAATTATGTCAAGTTGAGGCACATAAATACTTTAAATATTTGTGTGTATTATCACTGCATAGAGTTTAAAATAGTCTTCATTACAATATGATTAGGAATAAAATAGCCTCCCTATTCATTGTTAATTTTAAGTAGTTTTTTTACATTCAGAATTTTATATTCCTTTAAAAATTCATGGACACCTACTATGTGCAAAAAGCTTTATGAGGCACATAGGTAATATCATGAAATAGGTTTGGTTTTGTTTATAACTATTTTATAGTCACAGAAAGAAAATATTTGCAAACATATAGAATACAAAGTAGACTGTTTTAATTCCAAAAACAAGCATATTTATATCCCAAAATAGAATTATTAGGGAAGTGTAGTTCATAAGAACTCGTGCTGCTAACCCAAAGCCCATACCTCTTTGACAATTTAAATCCACTAGTGGCAGAAAGATGGACAATATCCTTCTGTGTGATTCACCACCTTGGAAATCCAGTGTAAGGTCAACTATGAGTTGATTCCAACTCCACAACAATGAGCTTAGTTTTTGAGGTTGATTCTTTCTTCCCCTAGTCCATGTCAACATAGCTAAAGAGTGGCTTAAGTTGCATATTTTAAAAAACTAAATCTCAAGTATTTTTTACCAAGGATGTGTAAAGGGTTTAGCTCAAAATATTCTAAACAGAGTTGGATAATCCTTTTAAAATCTACTTTAGTTGAATTATTATTGGTGACAAATTTTATTCCCTTTGCTTTATTTCCCTTAGTTTAGAGAGCTTTAACATTTGTTTTTTTTCCCCGACCAATTTTCATTTCCCAGAGGATTTTAATTTCTCTGAGATACTTATAGGTGCATGGAAATTTATTTTTTGTGATTTATGTTGTTGTTATTTTTCTCCCTTCTATATTCATGTTTTTGATTTGAGAGAAGGTGGATTTGCAATAGTTTCTCCATGCCTGGAATTCAAAGTATTATGTTATATGTAGATACCAAAATGTAAACAGAGACACTAAGAAAAAAAGATGTTAAAAATAGTATCTGTATTTTGCATAAAATGTATAAAATATGAAAAGAGAATACTCATAGAATGAAACAGTTTATGAATTCTTCTGGGATCTTAGTTGCCAACCTAAGCCAGGCTTATTTATTTATCTGGTTTTGCCAGTAAATTGTCTTCCTTCAGTATTTTGTAGCACTAGTAATTAGCAAAAAATTTGTCAGTTTAATTTCTTACACTATACTGTCCTTATCATTTTTGAAGGGGAAGGAAAATAAAGCTATGACTAACTCACAATTAGGAATTGAACATGAACTTCAGTTCATGTTCATACCTGGAATGAAATCTTAGGTTGATGAGAAAAGAGTGATCAAATACCTTATTTATTCCAAACACTTTTCGTATGTAACAAACTCTGGACTGGTAAAATGAACCTGAGGGCTGGTTCCTAGTGCTATTCTGGCTAGATGGTTAAAGTCTCTTTTGTTATTTAATATTAATTAAATGGGATTTTGTGTCCTCAAATATTCCCAGCTGGAAGAAATATTTGTTGTATGTATATTGTTATGTTTGAGTTTGTTCTTCAGTTCCTTGAGCTTAAGAAATGCTGAGTGAGTTCAGCCCTTTTGATTTTCTGACTCCAGCTCCTTGCATATTTCATTGTA